TAGTCAACCAAAAATATATTACGTTGGTACTTACATTTGAGACCTCAAACCTGTAAATTGTGCATTTGGAACATTACGATAATGTGATAAAATTACGAGTTTTACACTTTATTAAATTTTGATGGCCTTAGATAATGGTCTGTATATTTTTTCAAAACTTTGTCTTTTATTCTTTGTTTAGCTGATTGGTTTGATATTCTTGTGCAAATAATAATATATGCTACGAATTCTTTCTCGTAATGTTCTAGAATTACATCCAAACGTTGCCAATTGTTGTATAAAAGTTTTCGTATCATGTGAATTATCTTGTGTTACATTGTACCTACCTATAACTTTTCCACGTGCATGGTTAGCTACTCCTTCAGTGAACAAAGCTTTAAAATTATATTTTCTGAGCATTAAGATACTCGGTGTTCTATATATTATAATATAAATGTATTCAATTTAACTTCAGAAAAACAAACTTTCCCCTAAATTGTTTTATTATAAATGTCACATTTTTAGGTACTTATTTTAATATTTGAATAATTAAACAACTCGTTTGGTGTGTATGATACAGACAACATTGTTGGTTTTCTTCAGTTTTGTCGATCAATAAACGCTTGAGATATTCAACTACAGTATAATTTATCAACCAGTGTGAGCCGCTTATCTTATAGAGATTTTAATTTTGCTAAAACTTCGTTATCAACCACTGGAGAACATTTAAATTGTTATTACATAATTTTATTCAAGGAGAATGATTTATTGCTTACAACAAATAATTGGTCATAACTGATACGTTTTACAGTTACAAATTTTCATATTATTCTTTATGAAATATGTATAGTAGAAAAAAACAACTACCTATAAGAAGTAAGAAACCATAAAAGTATTGTTTGGTAATCAATTATCCAGGAAACCAATACGAAATTGTACCCATGCCCAATTAACACAAAACAATATTATACCAAATCAATAATTGAATAAATACCTTTTGTTTTTACGAATTAAATAATATATATATTATTATGTTCGAATGGTTTTTTAATGTTGAGACTTTCGAATTTGACATCTACCTGCTTGGATATACGTTTAGACGGTGAAATATAATATTATTCATTTGATTCTATGTATCATCACCTACCACCATTGGAAAAACCTTAATAATTCAAACATCATAATTATTGATTTTTACAGAGTTATATTAATGTTCATAGATAAACAAAGTTTTCTTTTATCTTATTGCTCTACTACTTATAAGGATTTATCGATAATTTTTTAGTTTTTTTTTTGTATTTATTTAGTAGTATTTACGTTTCAAAATTAAAAAAAAAACTGTTTTAACTAGAATACTCACAATTTATAATTATTTTTATCATGACTTAATTCAACATTCTTAAGTGAAACAGCTTAAAGAGTACGAGAGCTTTTAATTAGTCTCCTAGTAATGTGATTTAATATTTTCCGTTTTCTTTATTTTGTGTAATATATTTACCTTCATCAGATAATGCTAAAGAAAATGTTTGATAATGTCGTTTTTATAATTATGATTACATCAATGAAGTTTGATGAACAAACTAAATATTAATTATGTACCTACACATTTACAACAATATTAGTTTTTTTTAGTGTTATACATTTCATGCTTTAGTGTAAATACAAACAAGTGGCTACCACAAATATCACAAAATATAATTCGTAATATTAAGTAGGAACCTTGACACCTCAAAACGAGGTTACTCATTTTATAGTCACAACTGCATATTATAAATATTCAAACGCATTAATCATTATTTATTTCTATCAGTAATTTAAAATGTTTAAACATTCCTTTAAATCTCTGCTTGGAATCGTAACTTTTAGGATAAGAAAATGTATCATAAAATTCAAATATACATATATTAAAAAAAAAAACAAAAACAATACATCACTATCTCGGGCTACAAAACAAGAAATTTACTCCACACCTGGTCCGTGTTATAAAACCTTGTCCAGTGTTTCGTTACCTATCATAATATAATATGTGAGATCGCATCTGTGAATACTCTACATAATATTACTACATAACATTACTCAGGTACGGCGTTTGGGTATTTTTTTATATCTCTTTTTGATAATATGCACTTTGTATTTATTATAGTAAAACATCCCCAAACAAAATAGTTCTGTTATAAAAATCGTCATAATGGACATAATTTTTAAATATATTTATACATTATACATTATGCAAGTATACCTATAGTTGTATAGAATTATGTCAAATTTTTTTTATGATAAAATATTAATAGTTATATTACATCAATGCAAATCATAACCATGGAATTGTAAATGTAAAGTTTCATTTTTGGTATTATAACCGTATTTCATTGTTTCTAAATTGAATTAGTTATAGAGATTGGGCATAAACTTTACACAACATAAATTGTTTAAAAATTACGAAGAACATGATTTAATTTTCAAACACAGTTATAATTGTATATGGGTGATTCACCACGACCATAGTTTGACTAAAATGAATCAACCGAAACAACTATGTTGTAGTACAAGTTTAAAAACTTGGTAAAAATGTTTTATGCATTTTTATTGATTTCAATAGTAATTTCTACTACCATATTTATTCTGTAATTGAATCGACGAGAAAAAAATGTTTATAAATATTTTATATACACTATATAATATATATCAAAGAAAAAATAAAGTAAAGTGTTCATCAATAAAATATTTTTGAACAGAAAAGTTATATTATTGGTATGGTGCTCTGAATAAATGTTTAAAATATAAGTTCACATTCAACTGGTAAATGCGTAAGTTGTTTGTAGGTACCATGCGATTAGTAAATTATTACAGATTATTAATTTCTCATAGAGGACAACAATTTATGTATAGATTGAATCGGTTAATATATTGCTTTGCGGTCTACAAAATAAAAAATATAATTTACCTATTACTTAAATAAGAGGTAATACCTATATTTTAAACCAAAGAATATATTTTGATGATTGGATATAAGTAATAAAATATAAACAAATATTGTACTCAATATTTTATTATATTTTGCATTGTTGTTGTGGGCTTATACATATTTAAACATATGCGTAAGTACAGTTATTCCTATCAACTTCTAAATGTATTTGAATAACATTTTAGTTTGCAATTTTTTTATTAGCATCGTCATGGCATTGTATGTTACAAAAAAAAAAAAATAATAATAAAAAATATACTAAGGTTTTAAAAATAAATATGTTTTATTTTGACATTATTTATTCTTTATTTTTTTAAATGCTGATGCAAGAAGATTATTGAGAGTGTGTTACATTTGAACACATTTCGATATTGCATTTGAAACTAATAATAAATCATCGCATTCAAAAAATGGTTTTAATTTAACTATTTCATTTTTTTAAACAGATTTTTGTATTTTTTTTTTTTGTACTTATAGAATCTACCTACTGGGTATATGAAACCTTTTCTGTTTAATGTATGAACCAGATTTGATTCAAAAACAGAATTGTTCAGTTTTTATTATTGGATGTTCTAATACATTTTGTTTATGGACAATTTAAAAGAAATTTTATAATTAAGAATATAATATAAAAAATAAATGTAATTGTTTTGTAAACAGCGTTTATTATCATATGCATAAAATATTAATTGTACATAACAATTTATGTGTTTTTAGACAATATATAGTTTAATCTTTTATCATTGTATGTTATTATATTTTAGTTTTATTCATAATATATAATGTTAATGGTATTAGTTAATAGTTAAATATCAGACTGGTATTCAGATACTTTTGTTTTTGGAATACCCAAATTGATTTAGAGATTGCCACTCAAGTCATATCCTAAATAGGTCCTAGATTTAAAAAGCTATTTCAATATTTTATCCCATTTAAACTGACTAGAGACTGTTAACAATTCGTAGGTATATATATGGTTAAATGTTGTCAATTGCATTATTTCTACATAGCAGAAATATTATAAGATGACCTTAACCAAGGCCGTTGAGTTTCGCATTTTTATTTTACAAAAATCAAATTGATAACTCATTGGAATTTATTTTTTATTCGAAAAACCATGTAGGAAAATCGATTTAGATAAGTAATGCTAAAATATCTGAAATCAATTCCAATGTATGCCACATAATATGTATTACACACAATGTTTTTTCTTCTCTTTTATAATATAAAATATCTTAAATATATGATAAAATACATAAACCTTTTAAACAAAAACTGTGATTTAAGTTGAGTTATTTTTTTCTCTTATGTGGAACGAATGAACAATACAATTACACAATTATCTCAAAACAAGAAAAATATTAAATCTCATCTAAAATAAAAATAAAAATGAAGTACTCCAAAAAAAAACTTACTCTCATTTAAAATTAATTTTGACTTTAGTTTACCCTATTTATTTAATTTCAAATCACAGAAAAAAATGATTTTGGAAAAATCTATTAACCCACTTTTGAGATAACAACTAAAATAATTTAAAATATATGATAATTCAAGTATTCATGTTTGAAATCTAATAAAATGTTGTGATTAATTTTCGCTTAAAAAACAAATAAATTATGCAGTACATGATCTATTAAATTTATATTGTACTGGACAAATATAATATTTATTTCTAATATAATCTTATTGCTAAAATACTTAACTTTAAGTAATGATATAGTTCCGAAAAACATTGATTTACAATATACATATAATTAGAAGTAGATACAACTTTATATTCACGTCACAACTCAATTAAAATATAAATTAATATCCCGATTATTAATTTAATTCTATATTCAAATCTCTTAATTAAATTGTCTCCCTTTTCTGATTTTTTGTATACATCATACGAATGTGTATGCAACTTAAGTTGTGTTACAGCAATTTGTATTGTAAATTTCTAAAACTAGATTTGCTATTATTTGTAGATCTATATATTACGTGCAGAGTGCAAAACATATAAAAACAAATAATGATTTTTGAATGAATAACAAAATTGATTTTTTTTTTCCAGAATGAAGTGATACGTCCAAAAACATACAAAATGAGCTTCTTTTCGTCCCTTCATCAAATAGTCACCAGTAGTGTGGCAAACCTGAACTTGAGTCCAAAGCGATTTTCGCTGTCCAAAGAATCGGGACCAGATGTAGACGAGGCGGCTGCGGCTGTGGTGGCTGCGCCTACGGCCACGTCCAGTCGCTCAGCGAGCACAGGCAGCGTAAGCGGTATACCTCGAATCGTAACACCTCAGGGTAATGGTGGTAGCTGTGCCAGGTCATCGGGGCCCAGGAGGACCGGGTCGTTCAGACAAATATCTCAGCCCAGGAATCCGATGGCTTTCTGCAGGCGTAGAAACTCGTGGCCCGAAATCGACCAAACCGCATCATCGGGGTAAGTGGTCAAAAATATAAAATACCGAGTACAAATACCAAGAATGAAAATATAATAATATTATTATAATGTACTACTCAATTTTAAACATACAATATTATGATATAATATCACTTCAACAATATTCCCATTAAAAAAATATATACTACCTCGAGTTGTTCTTGAAGATTAATATCATCGTTTAAATAATTGACAGTATTTTATTATTTTACATAATATACGATGTTAATTTTAACTTCTAAATTTTTTTATATATTTTTATTTACGAGTTGAGAACATAAGAAATAAGTATAGATAACTAACTTCTCTCATCTATTTTATTTTTAAATTAAATGTTTATTTTACAATACCTTCCAATTTAATTATCGAACTCAGTTTTTATATGTGTGCCCAAAATAACCTTAATAATAATACTTAGTATAGGTACAGAAATATGTTTAACAATAAATTAAGGTTATTGATTAACTAAGGAAATGAATAGAAATTGAATTTCATTGAGTCTTGTTAGCCGACTTCTCTACTGAATTATGTATTTCGTTCACCATTATTGTTTGTGTGTATAGTATACGTTTTTCGCATGGAACATATTATGACACGCATACAAAGATGAACGCAGTGTACCGTTTTAATGAATTTTTAATGCTAGGGGCTTAATTAAAAAGTGTTTTCATAGTTAAGTTTTATTTTTTGTTTTCACTTTTATTGGGCATTTGAATGTTTTTGCAACATAAATATTATTATGTCAGTTTTTATTTTATTATTTGATGGTTATCAATGTTTCGATATCTTACTATATTTTGGTTCATTTGAATAAAATAATTGTAACGAAACAACTCTAAGATTTTATAATATTAATGATCTAATAAAGTGTACACAACTGAAATAGACAATTATTGAGTGAATGATACATTAATATACATTAGATCCTAGACCTGCTTGCCGATTGTATATAGCCACGGAAATTATAATTGCAATTATCTGACACCTTCTGAGTGAATCGTGATGTGCCAACGGTGATATGAAATATGTGTTAATTTTGAGAAGACAACGAGTACCCACTCCATTTATCACACGTGGTTAACTCTTAGAAATTGTGCAGCTGTATGGATCGTGCTTTTTATTAATAACTGTTGAAGATTTTACTCTGAACCGATATTTCCGCGCGGGACAGTCCGACTGTGCTTTGTGTACATTAAACCTGGCCAATATTTGAACGGCGATAATATAGATTTCTGTAAATAGTATAATAATTATTGAGTGTGTGTACTGTGAATTATGTTTTTATGGTTTAATCGATATACCACGCATTAGTGTTTGCCTCCATTTATTTAAGCAGGTACCTACTATGAGAAGCAATAATATTTAAAAACACTAAATTATGGTCTGTGATATAGATACCTCATACTTTGGGTGTTGTAGATAAATTATAATGTCTATACATTATACAGGCATCAGTCACCGTTCAAAATACTAGGAAACATCATCGTTTCCAAAATCATCATATCTGTTTTGATCACTTCACAACTTGTGTAAGGTAGTGGAATTCCACCTTTTCATATGTGACTTATCATACACAAGTCAGTTAACCTGTCGGATGTGTTTGTATTATCAGTTTATACGTGGTATTGTATTAATGGCATAGATGTTTATCATAATGTATGACATTTTGTTTGGAGGAATTCCATTTTCGTTAATACCTTTAGTTTGATCAAATGTTTTCTAAATGCTATTACAATATGTGACAAGAGTTAGACGTTTACAAGCTCCAACAAAATAATATATTGAATATTATTTTTAATACATATCGATGCATTTAATGTCAGGTTGAGACGTCGAGTTAGAGATAGTTGAGAGTTTACGGTGTGGATACTTAACTCGTGTTCATCCTATCAAATTACATATACAATTGTTTGACATCTGATTTTTAATCCACTATACATGATAGTACCTAATTAGACTTTTGTTTATTTTGCTTAATTTTTTTTTCAAAACATATTATAAAATTGATCGTAATAAATTGGTTTTATTTGGTCTTTAATAAGCATTAATTATTATTTATTTATAAGCAATATTCAAATGCTTAGAGGTGCATATGTTCACAAGATTTCATTAAAAAGCTAGATTTATTAGCTTTGTCAACCTTCTTAGAATATATTGTTATCCAAGAATTTTTCCCGAATGTAATAAGCCAACTCTAACCTGAAGAATGTATCCTTTCGTTCTAGACATTTAAAGGGTATTTCATTATATTATTAACTTTAGTATACATTATTTGTTTCTCTTATTTTTCTTATTTATTATTTTTGTAATGTAGTTTAGTTAAATTGTCTTTGTAATTTAATTATTAAAATAACTAATTTTGTCAAATGTATACATCATAAATGTATGTGTATTTATTTATTTAACCAGCTACCTGTTAATTTATTGAAATAAATTATGTAAATTTCTATTTAGTATAATATACACAGTATATTTTATTTCGTATAACTCATGCGTTAACCAATTATAGTAAGCAAATTATTTTTCATTTAGTTTTATATATTCATGATGTAGTTTACAACAATTTATATCAGTAGGTATGTTTTAGGGTAAACGTATTTAATTGTGTGTATCATAACCAAAACACGAATGATACTTAAATACTAGATATTTAATTATTATTTTCTATAATGGTTTGATAAAAGTTTTTTAGAGTGCTTAGGCAATGGCTTATTTGTAGTTTCATGAAGTGAGTACAAATACGTAGAATATAATAAATAAATGTTAAAAATTGTAAAGAGCTTTTGTTATAAATGAAATGCGAACTCGTGTTTTAAAATAAAAATAAAATGCATGGGTAAAACATTACTTTCTCTACAACATAACCATTTATAAAGCAAGGCGTCAATACTTTGCCTTCTGTAATTTTCAATGTTGACAAAGTCGTTTTAAATTTTTAACATTTTTCCCATTCGCCTCTTAACCTTTTGTGTATTTAAAAATCCAGTCAACCATTTAGTAAAAGTCAAGTTTAGTAATTACTGCAGGTTTATATGTAGAACTGCAATTAAATGTAAAAATAAAAACTTTAAAATGTACACCAACTAAAATACGATATAGTGCCAAGCACATCATGGGTGTTTAATTTGCATTATTAATTACTGTTATTTGATTTAATGCTCCCAATATCCATAATAATAACACAATTAAAATGAAAATGACAAATTATATTTTGTTCAAAATATCATGTGCAACATAACTGAGACTTTAATAATAAACATAACTCAAGTTCTCTTCGTTCTTGTTACACAATACTTAATCTTCATTATAACTCACTGGAACATCTACGAGTAGGTATCAAATTCATTATTATAAAGATTTTGATAAATGCATATTATTTGAAAAATGGAAAAAGAACAAACCTTGAGTAAGTACAGAAAATTTGAATAACTCGATGACATGATAATGTAATGTGACGTTACAACTTGTAACACCACTACATTAAATCATATTTTATATAAAAAAAAAAATTATCAATATTATTTCATGAAATTGAATGCGTTAAATGAAATAAAAGTGATCGGTATACAAGTTAATTGTTTATGTTTTGAAATTTCAATAAACATACCTGTTACAAAAATTCTAAGACTTGTATTTTCTATACAGCAATTAATATAACTCGGATGTAATATCTAATTAAGCCATATTTTAAGCATGAATTATTATTTAATAGGCATTTTAAGATTTATTGTAAAATAAAATATGAGTTACAGCTAGAAACCTGAACAAAGCTATTTTAAATTTTTAGTAGAGTAAACGTAATTCTTCTTCATCTTTAAATTTGTATTGATTTTATGGTTGAAAATTATATCTAGTTGGTGACATGGGTGGTAATTAATAGTAATTAATTTCTAGTGCTATTCAAAATAATCAAAATATTTTTTTTTAAAACAAAATACAATTACTGAAAAACAGGAATATTTACACAAACCCAGTTTCGACAAAATATATATGATGCATAATATTATAATGTTCTTTTTTTTTGAGTAAATCAAAAACAAAAAACCACTGATTTTAAATTCTCACCATTAGAAAAAACCAACTAACATAACATTTTCAAAATATTTTGGCTTTGTATGTGCAATTTCGTGATATTTAAATGTTATTTAAGTGTCATACTCAATTATGAGGTACGGTACACTTCAAGCCTACTATATAACAGACAAACTTTCTCAGTTTTTTTTATAATTTTTATGATCGATATTGATTTTTTGATTTTAAATTGTGTTCTTAATTCCATTACGAAATCTAAACACGTCCAATCAAGTACCTATCATGAGTGTGTACCAACTCTTAAGTATGTCAATTTTCAGCTATTGCTGGTGTTAACTATGAACGATGGGAGTAAAAAAAATATGTGAAATACTGAAACAGACAAGACATTTGACCTTATATTCATCAAGAAATATCCTAGGGATTTACACTGTTGAAATCAGAGACGCCCAAAACATTTCTAGAACAGCATCATGAATAATTTATAAAAGGGTAGGTAGTTCATTTTTATGAATTTTGACCTGACCAGTATTAACTTTCATGAGTATGTTGTACATACCTTTGGTAATCGAATGTACAAAAATATTGACTTTTAATAAATTTTTAAATATTATAGACTATATACTATTATAGAGCGATATAACCAAATAACACAGACATAATATATGCAAATTATTTTTTCAAACATTTCATATTAAACTACCTAATTATGAAGTTGAATTCAAAAGTCATAGTCTAAATGCTACTAATGAATTAAACAGTAACAATTTAATGACTTTCTTAAAAACATATTATTATGAATACAAAATGAAATTTGTTTTTTTAGCTCAACAGCTCAACTTGGATATTTTGTTTTAAAATTGATTTTAGTACTACATTGTACGTTTATATTTATAAAAAGATTAGAATCCCAAAAAATACTTTGCCTGTGATTAAAAGAAAAAAAAGTGAACTATTCAATAGAAAAT